GTGAGTTCCAGGCCATCTGTGGCTATAGGGAGACCTTGTCTCAAAAAGACCGTGAACTTGAGTATATGTGTTTATAAAATTTAAATTTAAAAAATGATGTAGCCCCCTAACCACAGGGAAGTCCATTTAAAAAAAAATCAGTGCTATGTTAGCCAGATAGCTTTTTTAAAAAAAATTTTATGTAAATACATATATTCTGGAACTTAAAAATGTTTAACATATGACATAATTTCAACTGTAATTATAATTATATTCATCAATATTTCTAATTTTTATGAGGCAACTTGAACTTTATTTTCCTAAAGATAACCTACAGAGAGTTGAAGCTTTTGCGCTGCGAGGCAAGCTGGACGGCATTCAGTCAGTGCCCATCCCTGCTCCAGCTGATGACTATTCTGGAGAAGAATGGATTGGTGATATATTCTAAGTTGAAGCAGATATGTAGAGAAGATGGGCACACATGCGTTGAAGAAGCTGACTTGACATCAGTGCTGTCTGAGCACATGTCTTTTGAGGAAGCCTGGCAGTCTCTGAAATTTCTGAAGGATCTTGGTGTGGTGACCTATGAGAAGGGCTGTGTCTTTCTTTATGAACTTTACCAGGCTGAGCAAGGCATCGCCTCTTCAATATACGATCTGATGAACAGACCCCCATGGCATTTACAGGTGGATGTCAAGAAGGTGCTGGCATCCATTTGTACCACAGAGCCCAAGGATTCAGAATGTAATGATGCAGTAGATGAAAGCAAACCAGACCAATCAGGATTGGAAAAGGGTGAGAGTGTGTTGGACCCCCAGAATAGTGAGGGCCATATTTGGAATAATGGTGAAAATGAATTGAATGGGGAAATAAATGATGTCTCCCTGGATCAGGATCAGGTAGCTGCCCTGGAAATGGTTTGCTCCAATGCTGTTACCGTTCTCAGTGGAAAAGGAGGCTGTGGAAAGACCACAATTGTCAGCTGTCTCTTTAAGCATGTAGAGCAGTTGGAAGAAAGAGAGGTGAAGAAAGCTTGTGAAGACTTTGAGCAGGACCAGGATGCCTCAGAAGAATGGCTTGCATTTACTGAGCAAAGTCAACGGGGGGTGGATAAGGCCATAGAAGTTTTGCTTACAGCACCCACAGGGAAAGCAACTGGCTTACTGAGGCAGAAAACTGGTCTTCCTGCTTACACATTATATCAGGTAAAGGCTTTGACATTTCGTCTGTAGATGAAACATTTTCCTAAAGACATACTTCTTACTTACCATAGTAGGTAGAGTATTATGTATTACTGTTTTGCTTTCTATAGCTTTATTACCCTAGATGGCAACTTATATCCAAAAATATTAGTTGGACATTTTCAGAAATAAAAATTTTGTAGGTTTTTCTTTTTTCGTACTGGAGATGAAACGTAGGGCCTCATGCAAGCCAGGCAAGCACTCTACTGCTTACTGACTTATACCCCCAGTCTCAAGAGTTTATAAGGTTTTAACTAGGCACTGTTCTGAGGAGTCTGGTGAAATCTCACCTTGCTCCATCCTGTCCTGCTGGAAATGTGAATCAGCTTTCTCCAGGGTATTCATGCTGCATATACTTCCAGCCTGTTTGTCACCAGTGGCTGTTTCAGCCACTGGATCAGCTGTCACAGTATCCCAGTACTTGTATATAGGGTTTGCTACTCCCCTGGAGCATATCTCCTGTGGTTCATGGGGGGATCACTGCATTTTTAAAATGTATCCTGGGTCCTTGCCCTACAGTAGTTAATGGTACAGATCATTCCCATTCAGAAGAGGCTGTTTGTAAGCTTAGCAGTTTGCAATGAGATTGGAGCTAGGGCCAGAAAGTAAAGCAATACACTGCTTCTTTTTTTTTTTTCAAATATTTTATTTATTATTTTCATTTTATGTGTATGTGCGTATTGCCTGCATGTAGGTAGATGCACCCGTGTCATGCAATGCCTGCAGATGTCAGGAGAGGCTATTAGATCCCCTGGAACTGGAGTTACAGACAGTTGTTAGCTGCCATGTAGGTGCTGGGATTTGAACCCAGGTCTTCTGCAAGAACAGCTGGTATTTTTAACCGCTGAGCCATCTCTCCAGCCCCTACTGCTTCTTTTATTGAGAAGTTCTTAGGATGAAAAGATGTCGGCAGAGTTAAAGTGTCTGCTTAATGATATATTTTAATGCCTGGTACAATGTGTATTTCTCATGGGGTCTGGATGAAAAAACATCCCCAGGGGCTGGAGAGATGGCTCAGCAGTTAAGAGCACTGACTGTTGTCGGAGAAGACCCAGGTTCGAATCCTAGCACACTGGGTACTGTGTGACACGTGTGCACTTGCGCACATGCAGGCATAACACTTACATTAAAAAAAAAAAAAAGACCCTGTTCCCAGGAGTACTGGAGGGAAGGAAAATTTATCTGTTGTAGAATGAAAGTTCCATGGAGCTGATCTCCATCTCTTCCACCTAGGACAATTTCTGGCCAATAATTATATCTTAAAGGTTTGAAATGAATTAATATGGTTGAAAAAATGGATATCAGCTATAATTAACAGTGTTAGAGTTTAAACTTGTTCAGAGTTGTATGGCTATATATCCATATGTATGAAATTGAAACATTTTTTGGAGTGATATACATTCAAATGTCTAATGTTCTTTGGTTATGATTTTACAATTAATATTTTTCTTCATCTCTACTTTAAAGAGTATTATAAATACTGTTGTTAGTTGCTAGTGGTTGTGATTTTAAAATGTGGAGATGAGATGTTTGGAATGCTTGAAAGAGAAAGTAATATTTTAATAATTAGGTTAGAGGGGGGTCCTTTAGTTCCAGAAGTGCAGTAAAGAGTGAATGGATTTAGAATTTCTCAGAAAGCCAAGAGGTTTATTGGGAATGGAAAGGATAGAGAAAATTCTGTGGTCAGGGCCAGTGGGAGAAGTGTTGATATGTTTTGTAAGGGAAACTATGGTTGAAGCCTGTGTTAAACACAAGTCTCATTGGGAAACAATTTTTTGACGGTCCTTTAGTTCCAGAAGTGCAGTAAAGAGTGAATGGATTTAGAATTTCTCAGAAAGCCAAGAGGTTTATTGGGAATGGAAAGGATAGAGAAAATTCTGTGGTCAGGGCCAGTGGGAGAAGTGTTGATATGTTTTGTAAGGGAAACTATGGTTGAAGCCTGTGTTAAACACAAGTCTCATTGGGAAATAATTTTTTGATATTTTACAGTTTGAGATTTTAAAACAATTTATCTTTTCTGTGTATTCATCCCTATAGCTGGTATGTTATTTATTTTTTAGTCTTTTCCTTATATAACTCCCCCCCATGATATAAGCTTTATTCTAAAATTACTTGCTTGTTAATTTTTTAACCTGATTTCAAATATACATACTTTCCTTATAGGTCAATTATAGCTTCTATGTATGGAAAAAAAATCAGGTGAACAAGCCATGGAAATTTTCTGCGGTTAGAGTTCTGGTTGTGGATGAAGGGAGTTTGGTATCTGTAGGAGTCTTCAAATCTGTTTTAAAGTTGTTGTGTGAGCATTCCAAACTTTCTAAGCTTATTATCCTTGGTAAGTTAAAATATTGGCAAAATCCTCATGTTCAGTTCAAAGCCCTGTGATTAGAACATTGTGGAAGTCATTCCGGGGGTTTTCGCTAAAGGTGGAAAGCATTTCTCACGGCCCATCCCACAGCTATGCTGAGTTAAAGCAGACTGCTCTCCTCAGCATCTTGGGTCTTCTGGCTGGAGAATTAGCATGCTAGTATGATGAGACAGGGTTGTGAAAAGTTACTGCCTCTCACCAAGGTAATGACTGTTAAAATAGTAAAAATGTCTGACTCAGGATAAATCAGAATATAGATCATTTGGAAATAGTAAAAAGTCTGAATTATAGATCGCTTTACAGTAATTTTATGATTCTAAGCTAATAACTCAAATTTGACCTTACCAGCCTTTTATGTTTTCCCAATTCTGATGAGGTTTGGTTAGATTCTATTGAGCTGAAGTGATTAGTAGATTATATGATCTAATAGAGAAAAAAATTAAATTGTGATTGAGTTGCATATGAATATCATTTTTAGGTATATGAGGATATTTGTTAAGCAGCTGATTTTATTAATGTCTTAAGCATTTTCTCAGTTGCTACCTGGTCTATATTTTTCTTATCTCTAAGATTTGATTTTTGTTTGTTACAAACAAATATTTTTAATAGGCTAAAGCATTCTCATTAGATAGCTGGAATTTGTCTGTTTTCAGATTTATTTAACTTTTTCATTATATGTTATATATATTTGTATTATGAGGTCAAGACCATAGAATGTCCCAGGCTCAGTAACACAATGAGCCAGAATTAGAAAGTGACTAAATACTAGATATGTAAGGCCTTGTTTTTAACATATTGGCAATAGTATATGCTCCTAAGTGGTTTGCCTGTGGTTATAGTTATGAAAGATCAGTTAAAATTGTCTTACACAATTTAAGTTGAATATTTTTGAATATTTAGTGTTTTTTAAAAAATATAATTTTTGTTTGTTTGTTTTGTTTTTTTGTTTTTTGAAACAGGGTCTCTCTGTAACTCCAGCTAGCCTGGAACTGTCTGTGTAGACCAAGCTGGCCTTGATCTACCTGCCTCTGCTGGGATTAAAGGCAGAGCCATCAGGGCTTCATATAATATTTTT